TTGAAAACAGCTCTGATCGAGGTGAATTATGAACAGGGAATGTGTTCGGCGCACAATGCTCCTTCAAGACTGAAAAAAATTTCGCTTTTGATGCGCAATATTGTTTTTGGCTGCCCTCTTTCATATGCTACCACTTTCTTGCAAGTTTTTTTCAAAAAGTCCAAGAAACCGGAAAACATGGGCGTTCGTATAATTATGAGCCGTTTTAATAGTTCACTTGTAAGTACCGTAATTGTTAGTAATCAAACAAGCAACTTACCTCAAGGAGGTCAACAAGAAAACGATATGTAGTCAGAGACAATCCGTCATTGAGAAGGGATTCTCCTTCGATCAGAATTCGTAAACTATGAGGTGCACCATATTGTTCCAGTATGGCGCCCACAGCTACAGCATCAGTGGAAACAAGAATCGCGTTGAAGAGGAATACCTTGATCTCTCGCTATAATCAAGGAAATTCAACAACACTTTTTACCGTAGTAATACTAAATTGCTGCGTATGAGCCAAGATAGGAATCATAAACGCTGAAGCAACGACGAGGGTGCTAAAGTATACGACTGCTGTAAGGCACACTATAAGCCATACTCTCGCAAAAAACGTATGGGAGTTCATTTTAAACGCTGACTCGAAGAGTAGAGGTGGTAGCATAACCTACAAGCATTACACATGAAATCCTATGTTCGACTAATATAAAGCATTTTTCAAACAAACCGTCATCAAAGTCTGTGGATTCAATGATAGCCATGAATAACGACTTGATAGACTTTTGAACACATTTGCTGGTAAAAATTTGGTCATGGCCACGCTGTAAATTGCAATATTCTGTGAAGCTTTTAGCAGAATGCAAAGCATCCAGTCGAAGTGGTCATTCGAGAAGAGTCATATGCTGCTGGATTTGATAATTCAAAACTTCAATTTATATCTGTCTGCCTGGTAATACAATGAGTATCTCTGGCTAATGATCTGATGAGGTGACAGGCTCAGTTTTCACTACATTCCAAAAGACAACACTTCAAGCATTAAAACTGTCCCACCTGGCGCACAAAGCAATCACAAACTGCAATACAGTATCCGGTATTCCAAGAAAACTGATACGTTTATTTACTTCGTCCAAGATGAGTCCTAGCATCAGTGCAAGCACAGGGAAGACGAAGGCGTCAAATTCAGACGATGGTCCCGAAGAGGCAGATGGGGTTAAACCAGCCACCATACTTATGCGTATCTTGGGAAGGAATGAACTCCTCTATATAGTTGAGGATTAAGGAATGCTGATCTTGATTCCCAGGCTGAACACAACATGCAGATACGTGTTAGGG